TTTTATGTTGCTATTTTTAGCGCATTTTCCAACGAAGTTGGCTGCGCTATTGCAGCCACTTTCTCTGTCCATCCGTCTGTCCGAGACCTTAACTACTCCTACAGTTTTCAAGATATTAAGTTCGTTCTTTTTGCATTTGGTAGCGTAGCCAAGGAAAATCTTTACAATTCAACTGCGCATGCGCAGACTTTGCAATGTCGACTTCCGATAACTCATCTCATAAAAGAATGGACCGATTACGATGAAATTTTGCAGGTGGATTCTTTATTAAATTTGTAGATCGGAGTGCGTGAATTGGCAATGTAGCCCAAAAAATAAATTAGGCCCTTTTGACATAATAATAATAATAATATGGTCTTTATGTCATCTTTGTGTATACACATTAATCAAAGCCTTGATTTTAGGGCGAAGTTCAGCCTAGGGCTGTTCTACCACTCAACTCTAGATTCGGCCAGTTTTACAATGAACTAGTAAAGCTTCATAAGGACCAATTTATATACAAATTATTATAACATACGACGGAAATTAACGAACCGTTACATCTCCGTTAGTTATGAACCGAATTGCATGAATCAATGTGCCCATAGCTTTAGCCATATAAAACACAATTCCAAAAGTTGAGGCTAATCGATCAGCATTCACAGTGCCCTTTGCGCATCTCGCCCATTTACAGACCGAATTTCAAACTTTCTTATTTATGAAGGTATTTAAATGAAATTTGATACATAGCCTCTTGGAATAAAAGCAAATTTAACGCCAGTTTCAAAATTTGGTTTTGCGCATGCGCAGTGCTAACTTTCTTATTTATGGAGGCATTCAAATGAAATTTGATACAAAGCCGCTTGGAATAAAAGCAAATGTAGCGCCATTTTCAAAATTTGGTTTTGCGCATGCGCAGTGCCAACTTTCTTATTTATGGAGGCACTCAAATGAAATTTGATACATAGCCACTTGGAATTTCATGCATATACACTTTAAATAAAAGCAAAACTAACATCAGGTTTAAAATTTGGTTTTGCACATGCTATAGCCAGACCCAGGAGCTCGTTTATATTTGTTTAATTTATTAATTAATATATTTTGTTGAAATTTTAACCACATATTTCTGGGGTGAAAGCAAACATATCGCATATAGTAAAAATCAGATGTGCGCATGCGCAGACTGCGCAATGGCAACTTTCTTATTTATGGAGATATTTCTTTGAAATTTTAACAAAAGTTGCTTTTAGTGTAAACAAACGTATCGCATATTGTAAACATCAGATTATTATCAACTGTTATTTATCGAGATATCTTTTTGAAATTTTAATCACAGATTCTTCTGTTAAAGGCAAACACAACTGATACTGCAAAAATTAGATGTGCGTCATGTCAATGTCAGTCATTTACTCAGAGTACAGGGTTATTTAGTAAATTTAGATATCGCGTAGCGCGGTTATTATAAGAGATATGAAAAACTTTAAATACAAAAGTTGTAGGTTTTATCGTAAATCGCCATCAAATGTAAAGTAAGAGAACATGAATATCGCAAATTTGGTAAATATTTAACGGAACGCCCTGTATATTTTTCAAAAATTGAATAGATTTCAAACATATATAATATGTAGACATTTACTTTAGAGGTTTGTGAAAAGAAAGTGATCATATCTAGAATTTGTAAATTTTGGTTACCTAGTTTTTGTTTATTGAAATAAATATTAAAAAGGAAAGTTGCTCTATGTTATTTCCAGTGTAAAAATAATATATTAATTAATAATGACCATTTGTTTTGCTATGGCAACTACTATAAATGCAAATATTTCAAAAACGGCTAAAGCAAATGTCAACATATAAGTATATTTTTTTGAAATCAGAAAGGAAAGATCTATTCAATTTTTGAAAAATATACAGGGCATTCCATTACAAATTTACCACACTTGCATTTTTTACTAACTTTGCGATATTCATATGTTTTTTACTCTACATTTTCTGCCGATTTGTGATAAACCCTACAACTTTTGTATTTAACATTTTACGGAAGCGGCGCCATCTTGAAATTATTTTATTTCAATTTGCAATGGTTGATTATGGCTATGAACCAAATTTCCAGTTTCTATTTCAACTTTCAACTGCAAGTTTAAAAACTTGTATAATAATGGCATCTACTGACGACGATACTTTGGCGATAATTGGTTGGATTATGGTGAAGAAGCGCAGTAAAACTAAAAAAAAAGCGTATTGAAAGAAGTGCCTGGGGGAAGGAATGGCTAATGAAGAGAAGCAAATATTCCTGTCGTGCGTGGTATTCCTCACACTTTTGCCAAAGACAAGTCTCACTTTTGTATATGAAGTCCCTCCACAAATTGAAGGTTTATATTATTTCACAATCATGAACGGTGCACAGCGGAAAACTGATAAATTAACCAATGATTCTACCACACACGCCAAACGTGTTGAAAGAGGTCTGTGCCATTATTCATAATGGTTTTTTGAATAGGATTTTATGGACTGTACAGTCCACCGGTGTACAGCACACACAGTGTTGAAAATTCCAGGGATTGGACTGCGCAGTCCAAACCTTGACGACAAACTATGTCTGTGGTAACCTTTACAGGATTGAAAGAATTAAGTGCAATCAAGTTGTACTAGAAAATCTACTTAGAGATTGAGATTGACCCTCGAAAGTTGTATACATGTGTTTACCTATTTCTTTTAGCTAATTATTATAAATATAGTACTATGCGATCAAAAATGAGTTGCTGTCGAGTCACCTTTGGAATTTTTGTTTACATGGGAAATCGCACTTAACTTGAACTTCCAAAGGTCACTCGACAGCAACCCATTTTTGATCGCCCGTTATAAATTACACTTTTGTTTCCGGCTGATCTCAAAAGGAAAACGATCCTGTAAATACACGCTAGCTAAATTCTGTATCATATTTTGTAAAGCTTAAAGTCTTTCGTTCTTTAAATATATATTTATGTAAAATGGGTTAAGTGGAAGAGCAGATGTAGGAGCTTGGGCAACTACTATCTGAACTTCGCCCTTTCAGTTGCTATTGCTCTCGCAATGTACTCACTTGTAATTGTTTTTGTTTACTGAGTTGATAATATGGGTGCAATATGTAACCAAATAAAGGTATTATTATTATTATAAAAATTGAGAACTCAAAATAAATATAAATAAAAGATATTAAAGTTAACATAGAACTAAAATAACTGTGAGTCTAAAGTTTGCTGGATTTGGTATTCGACCGAGTGCGCCATTTATTTATTTATTTATTTATTTATTATATGCTCGTTTGGAAAATAATAAATTGTATCATATTGAGAACCATTGCCTTTGTCTTATATATGGTAGTCTTTGAGTATTCTTAGACAGCAATCGATTATTAATGTCACAGTCTTGGAATTTTAGACAACAATTTGGGTTGCACGATTATCCAAATTTAAATGCTACCGACATCTTACTAATGCTTTGTTCATTTTAGGAAGGCAAAGTGAAATTACAAGTAAAAACTCACCTGATCAGTTTAGGTCTGTCGGATAATTCCATTACCACCCTTTTCAATCTTATAGAAATGGAAAACACGTTCCCGAAAATAATGAGCGCATTTCAGATTATAACTAGAAAAAAATCAACCGAAGCAAGCACGTTAGCCAAGCAAGGCTTGCAGGAGTTGAAGATCATCATACAAAATGCGGAAGCGCTCGGCGTTAATGTAAGTCGATACCGTGCTGCACTTTTACCAATGGGTTCTTTTTAGTTTAACGTTGTCATTGCTCCCGGCTTACTGTTTAATGTTCGACAGTATTCGGGCATGATGTGCCAGTTTGTGTGTGAATTAAAAAAAAAGAGAAGGCGAGGTGGAATGGACGTGCTCGCTGCTGGTGGCAGGTACGATGGTATGATTGCGAGTTATCGCAATGTTAAAGAAGAGGCTATTATGTTAAATAAAGAACTGCAGCAATCGGCAGTTGGGATTTCTATATCGCTCGATAAGTTAATCCAAGCTGTTCAAGAGGGCGGTGATTTCAGTGAGGCGACAACTAGCAACCTGGATGCTGTTGTGTGCTCTTTAGGTAACAAAATTGCGCCTAGAGAAAGGTTTCTGGTGAGTAAACGAGAACTTGTAATGGTCCTATGCATTAGTGTTTTTAGGTTTTAACTGATCTGTGGGCTGCTGGTATTCGTTGCTGTTTAATTGAGGCAAGCAGTCTCGAAGAAATTCAAGAGCAATGTACTGAACTTAGCGTTTCTCATATAATTATATTAAAAGAAACTGAGAAGGGTACCGTAAGAATTCGCAGCTGGGATAGAGATAGGTGAGTAGCCATGTTAATCACAAACTACCTACCAATGGCCTTGCTTAACATTTTTTAGCGCATTAAAAAAATGTGCTATTGTTTGCGTTTTGTCAGTCCCACTTCTACTGTTTTGAACTACTTGTAGGGGAATGGTCCTAGAGTCCTGGAATTTTTTGTAGTAGGTACCCTATACCTTGAAGGTGTGCCAGACGGGGATCAAATTTTGCTGTCTAAAAGGGGGGCCTGAGATGCTGTTTTTGAAAGTAAAACGTGCATAACTTTTACATACGACAACCAATTGGTCTCAGATTTTGCATACGCATGCCTTTAGTGGTGCCAAGTTAAACTATAGGAAATGGGGAGGGGAGGGGGGAACACATGTTTTACCCTTCATGGTATTCTAATGAAAGGTCTCATTGAAAGGAACAGTTTTCTTCAAACTACTGCCCTTCTTTCTGTCCTTTTATTAAAGTAAGGGGTGGAGTGGGAAGGGGGGGGGAACTAGTTTTATCCTTCATGGTACTGTCATGAAAGGTCTCAACGAAAGGAATTAATTTATACTAACCATAGTCTTCCTCCTCGATCCCTTGTCGTAATCGGTTATAATTCCTTATATCTTAAGAGTGAATTGTCAAAGGAAAATACCTACAAAGGGCGATTGGGACGTTTGGAAGAAATATAACCATTGGGCATTTAAATAAAATTTGATACATAGTCACTTGGAATAAAACCAAATTTAACGCCAGTTTGAAAATTTTGTTTTGCGCATGCGCAGTGCCATCTTTCTTATTTATGGAGGGATTTAAATGAAATTTGATACATAACCACTTGGAATAAAAGCAAATGTAACGCCATTTTTCAAATTTGGTTTTGTGTAGGATGTGCAGTGCCAACTTTCTCATTTATGGAAGAAATTTCGTCGGGGTGTTTAAAAAAAATGCGCTTTACCTGCACAAGGGTTGTGCACAATTTATACTTGTTATTTGTGAGAATGTATTTGAAGATCACAAAAATTTATTTAAAATTTTTTTTCAGATTTCAAGAAAAAGTAGTTAAAATTCCGGATTTAGTAGAAAATATGCAAAGAGTAATAAAACTGTGGAACGAAGGATGTGCAGAACATGTAATTCCTTTAAGTAATATTAAGAATGATAGCAGAATCAGTAGTGGCGATAGCCATGAAGCTATTGTATCAATCCTTTTTGTTACAATGGAGAAATTATCGGCGAACACGAGAAAAAGATACGAAAATCAGGTAGTTTGCTTTATTATTTTCCAGTTACCTAAAACTTATCTTGCATATCAGATTCAAATGAAACATTTGGTTTGTTTGTTTCAGATAAAATCCCAATTAGACAGTTTATTTAAACGGCTGTCGGGAGAAGTGATTGTGTTAGCGTTGAGTGTGGACTCCAGTGTAATCCGTAGTTTAACTTCGTACTTAGATTTTGAATCTGAACGTGTATTTCAGAACTCATTGAAGGTTGTAATTGAAAGGTAAAAGCTTAGTGTTTCTGCGATTGTAAAGATAACTTATTCTTACGTTACAGACACCAAAGGCATAAAAAATATTTAATGGAAATATGTGACGAAATGTATGAGCTCAAGTTGAAACACACCAACGCAATTTTAATTTTATACAGTATAAGTGATTATTTTTATAAGATGTTTTTATAAAAGCAATCCATGAACTACTGGTTAGGTTGAAGACTTTTTATTTTTACAGCTGCTGTATATTGTGACTAGTAATAAGAGTAGGTAGTAAAACTGCTTTGCCACAAAAAGTACATCATTATATCTATAAAATTGTGACCTGAACGTATTTATATAAATGATAAGTATTTTTTAAATTGATCATTTTTAAATTCTGCAGATTGACCTTTTCCCTTATAACACCTTCAATCGGTCACTTGTCCGTAGACGTTTTTGTGCTAAAAAATTGACCTTGTTTGCACCATTTTTGTAAACTTTATGTTAAAATTTCTCTCATTCTTGTTTCTAATAGGCTGTCATTTTTATAAAGAACAAAAGATGTATGGTGGAACGTGAGTAACTGTTACAGGTATTGCATCTCCCAGTTTACCGTCTCAATCCATACTCCTATTAACTTCAATGTTTCTACTTGTCTACACGTTCTTGGTTTAGCTTGATATTTATATTTTCATTCCTATTTTTTAGCTCTTGTTTGTTTCCATCGCTTCAATATTTGTAAATTTCTTTCAGAACTTGCACAGGTCATTAGGTCACCTGCGAATTCAATTGAACCTTTAAGTTAGCGGTTGACGGATTGTTTAAATGCGATGCACATTGACATAAGACACTGTAAACAACCCTCAGTTTTAACCGAGGATATGAAACTGAATTAATTTTTGTGGAAGAAAATCCCATAAGAATCTGAAGGGAAATAGCGGCCGAATTTAATATCTCTTCATCATAACCTATAAAGCGTACTCGAATTGACAGTGGAGAATGCGTGCGCATGTTATTTTGGTTGCATCAAATTAGGCGCCGACAAGCTGAACATTTTTTCGTTTTACAAGAAACGAAAAACTACAAAAAAGTAATCGTAACGATTTACAAAAAGCGCATTTCCACTTGCATTCATTTCCCATTTGTAAGACGCAACATCTGTTAAAATCATAAAAATCCGGCCACAAATATGAAAGATAGCGTTGCACATGTGCAATCCATTTTTGACGTGCTACTTCAATTTCAGTTTATAAGAAGAATTTCATTTCAATGCTTTTCTAAATAAGAAAGTTGGAACTGCACATGCGCAAACCTAAATTTTAAAACTAACGTTAGATTTTCATTTATTCCAAGTGCCTATGTATCAAATTTCATTTAAATGCTTCCATAAATAAAAAAAGTTGGCACTGCGCATGCGCAAAAACCAAATTTTGAAACTGGCGTTAGATTTTCCTTTATTCCAAGCACCTATGTCTCAAATTTCACTTAAATACTTTTATAAATAAAAAGGTTTGCAATTCGGTTTATAAATGGTGAATTTTGAATCGATTCAACTCAACTTTTGGCATTGCGTATTATATGACTGAAGCTAAGCCCATATTGAATTTCATGCAATTCAGTTCATAACTAACGGAGATGTGAAAGCGATCGGACATTTCTAAACAAAGTTATCGTTCACACAGACAGACAAAGGAACATACGGACAGACCAACAGACAGACGACAGACAGCAATACAAAATTATAAACGATCTCTAGGATCGTTAATAAACGCCAAAAGTGTAAAATTATTTAACATGTACAAATTAAAGCGACGCATCACCAACGTTCGTCTAGTTTGCCATGTAATGTGGGGCCGCCTTAATATACTAACCTTGCAGAACGTACTGTGTACTGATAGTAGGAGAGCTGGTAACATTTTTGGGTACGTATTTGAGGCAAGCTGAAAACTTGTCGAATACTCCAATAATACCCAAACACAGAATTGCAGACCTGGCTGAGGAGTAGCGGGGCTAACACGCCAGGTGCCTTCAAAGTTTGAAAAAATAATGTACGCTTGAAATTAGGACTCTGTGGCCCTGCGTCATTGATTTGTGAATCAATTTTAGACATACGCTAAAACACTGTAACAACTATCAAATGTGGGAAATCGATAAAAAAACTTCTCTGAAATTGATTCACATATATCAATGACGCAGGGCCAAGGGACTCCTGATTTGAAGGGTATACTGGCCGCAACAATGGCCCATATGAATAAAAGGAAGCAAATGCTTATACTTGCAAAATTCAAAGTAAATACTCGTAAGTACTCCTTCACACTGGGTGACTTAGCAGCGCTGCTGAGCAGAAGGACAGGACGCAGTGCAGGGCTGCTAAACTATGCTAAACAGACCAGTATGAAGGGGCAGTTACGAGTATTTACTTTGAATTTAGCAAGTATAAGCATTTGCTTCCTTTTATTCATACGGGCCAATGGGTCGCAATAAATACATGTAGGTACACCTATTTTGTGTTCACCCAACAGATGCAGTTAAGCTCCTCCCAAATTTAAATGAAAATTTTTAATTGGGCGAATTTTCAAAACCTGTAACACACGCAACTATTTGCTTCCATTACAACTAATTCTGATGACAGTGTGTCAGTGTGTAGATCATCCACATACTACTTACGCATTAACAGATACTTGACTGGGCATACCATACATTATTTTTTCAAATTTTGAAGGCGCCTGGCAAGGTGTTAGCCCCGCTTCTCCTCAGCCAGATGTGGAATTCTGGAAGAAGTATTGGACAAGTTTTCAGCGTGCCCCAAATACGTACCCAAAAATATGTTACCAGCTCTCGGACTATGATCCAAATAAAAAAGAGGTCAATGGTACGGTGCAAAAGGTCACGTGATCACTGGAGCAAATTACGAACGGCATCATGAAGCCACTATGATATGAAGCGGCAGCGAGATAAAAAAAACCTCTGTGATGGAGCGTCAACATAACCTCTAAATTTTGTGCATTATGCATTTTGGCTGGTCAAGCACTAAATCTTAGGTTAGGAATGTGTAGAAATATTTATTGCAGATGCAAATGATGTCCAAATTATCTTTATGAAACAAATCGCAAACCAAAACTGGTAGGTTAAGTACACCGAGTTTGCACTTTTGCAGCCTGTAGGCATGTATTTCTACACAAACCAAAGTACATTATTTTCCAAATTAAAATCCTGAAATCGCATCTGAGATTGAAGTTTTAATAAAGTAATAAATAAATTTTCTGAAACGTCACGGGAACTAGAACGGAACCTAACCCATTCCCAGCACGGCACGCTTCCGGAACTATATAGTGCTTTCGCAGCTTGTGACCGCGAAACTCCCAAAAAAAGAGAAGCTTTTAATGCATCGTATTTCTCTCAAAGCAAGAAATAAAAGACTACCGGAGGCACTTCTGAAATATTTGTCATGCGTTTCTCAAGTGTAAAAGAAATATTCAATACACCTGATAAAGAGAGCACCCTGTGCAGTGTGCACATTGCAGATAAAAATAGAAACTGCATAGTGCATATGGTAACAAAACACACTCGCGCCCCGCTGCCACCGAACAGACAAGAACAAGGACATTATTTTATCAGTGATTCATGCAGAAATGTACCTAATCTGCATTCTGCATGCAGGTTTACCCTTTCTCGATGGGTCTTATTTTACTTTCTCGATAGTCGATGGGTTTACCGCACGTAGAGTAGAGAGAACTCTACAAAACGAGGAGCAGATACGCGGATTTACAAATAACGAAACAAATAATTTGTGCGAACGGATTTTAGTGCATTAAAAAATATACGGATGACGCATAGAACTATAGAAGTAGTGAAATACAGAACCAGTGTTTGTTCATCTTTATCTGATTGTTTACTTACTGATTTGTTTACTTTGTTATTACAGAAAACCGGTTAACCTGGGTTAACCAGTATTTTGCTTGTGTTTTAGTGAATGGCTAATGGCTAAACTTTGTTTATTTTGGTAAGTGTTTATCCAATAACCTAGGACAACCACAACCGTGGGTTATCAAATTTTGTTTCGTGTTTGTTTTCTTGCCTCGGAGCTCTGTATTTAATTAGTAGCTACCATAGAGTTAGTTCACTTGTTGCATTTGCTTCAGGCATTGATTATACAGTGAATCTTTTAGACAACACATCGTGTAATTCAGCGAAAATTTCGTGTTTTGTGGATAGTTACGTGACATTGCACAAACTTTTGCCCTTTGTGCGAAACCGATTTGTTTCTGTTACTTGAACTTGAATTTAAAGAAAAGTCAATCGCAAACATTCCCACAAAGTCTTGATATTTTACGTAGGGTAGGCCGTATTCTGTGCGTAGGGTGTCGCCTTAACGTTTTTGGTACGTCAAAATAAGAGAACTTTTGCATTCTTTTTGAAAATTGCCCCTTATTAACTTTTTACCGCGTTATAAAAACGTTATTTTCGTGACGTTTATTTGAAACTGCTGTTATTTTAGCTTTTGCATTGCACCCCAAGGATGCTGTATTACATGTTACATGCATCTTGACAATGACCGTATTAACGGAAACGTTATTCAAACGTAAATAACGTGGAACTTTACTCCTAATAAGGTGTAACCCGGACAAGGTGTAACGTTATTTCTCAAGCAACGGCGTACGCTCCAAGTAAGGATAGGTATGTAAATTTTACTAGATTAAGAAACGCAAAAGGTCTCTATGTGCATGTGGCAACCAGTGGCGTCGCTAGAGTACGATGCGCCGGGTAGCAAAACAATTAATGCGCCTTTCTCCAAAAATAAAAAATAAAGATTTTAGCAATTTATTTTAGTACGCATACACATGCAGGTGCAGGGCAATAATGATAACGTTCAATGCTTCGCATCGCATCCTTGCACGTGCACCTCGCATGACTTCATTTAGTTGAAATGTGATATTTTCAAGTTTCGAGATACAATAGGCCTTTATGTTAAATAAAGGTCTTTCTTTTATACATAAGCTTACAGGTTACTGTATCACAGTTAGATAATTAAATTTAAATCTTGTAAGATTATTTTTGTTGAATTTTTGCTACTCTGATTAATCCCAACCGCGATGTAAATGTAAGTAATATAATAAATAAACCAATAAACCATACTAACCGCGGCGCCTTTCGGTACTTGGCGCCGGATAGCAATTGCAACCCCTACTACCCCGATAGCTACGCCACTGGTGCAACCCTAGCAGGCGGAGGAGGAGAGCAAGCAAAAAAGAACACTTGCATCTGTACTGTACTGTAATGTACCCAGGCCAGCCTCGAGAGACTGCGCAACTCAAGATTTAAATTCAAAACTTTCCCTCCCAAACTAACTGAACCCCATGACACGTGATCGTCTAGACTCTAGACAAACCTACCTAACCTGAATAACCGAATAATAGGACCACTTACTACATTGTGTTTTTAAAAGTCGCTACAAGATATGTGTTGCTTATCGGAGTGAGGATCAAGTAAGGAATACAAATAAAACAAGTACATGCTTTAAAAACGGAAATTTAATCCAAATAATTCGCATTGCAAGATTAAATTTAGAAAATGGTAGTTCACCGAGTACAAATATAAAAATAGGCTGGGAAAAAAAAGAACTGACCAAGAAAAAACCCAGCCAACAAATTAATATTGAACTTTATAGCAAAATTAGTTGTCTGTAGTGGCATAAATGCATGTTGTCAAGTACATCAATACAATGTCGAATCCCAGGCTCCACTGGAATTCCTAAAGAACCAATATTACACACACATAACAAAAACAATCATTAAAACATTACAATAAATTCATATAATAAGTTTGGATATTGGGTGGCCAGTCCAAATCCCACACCTAGTAGTCTTTAGTTGCTCTGGCCATGACATGTCAACATCGAGGTCAACATTGTATTGTAACGTGATTTATAAATTCGGGTTCGATTTATATCAATATTAATTAAACAAAACTAAAACACTATAAAAACCGTACAATTTAATCGATTATTTATATCACACACTTCGCAATTTATATTTCCGCGCCCGATGTTTCATATGTACTCTATCTCGTTCGATAATAAACTGCCTGCGATGTTCGGTCCGCAACCATTTATACACGCAAGCAATGTAAGTCCAGAACACTTGCGTAATTACCGGATAAGTCTAGAATATTCCTATACAAATCCCACTATCGCGCGCGTAGAAAATTCCAGAGCGCCAAAGGCGACGTCATGTCTGGAGCGTTTCCGTTACAGTATGAAATCGCTAGCAACCATCGGCAAACTCGCACGCATACATAATGATAAACAAAATATACACAATTTATGTATGCGTCGACAGTTGACATATTTGCACTGGCATAATAAAGACTGACACGAAACCAATATTCGGTCACTACATGTCAGGGATCGACTAATCGGATTGATTAGCAATATCGGCAAGATGTCTCTTTTCAAAGACACAAAAAAACAGTACATAAAACATAATCTCTGCGTATGTCAGTTCTGAACTTTAGCCAGCCTCTGCTACGTCAAATCGAGATTAAATGTCGGTATCAAATATACTCGCAAATATAGCACAGTACATATTCGAAACAAGTCACCCTGCCAAATATTAACAATCATAATCACCCGGTTCAAATAAACAGTAGGAGTATAACGATAGTAGGTATATCACATTACAACAAACACAAAGCACACATTAGTATCAAGTAATTAATTCACAATGCCAAGTGCAATATGTAACAATCAACCACCTAACGTACGTCACTCGCCCCCAGATGAAGCACCGGCACCCTGTAAATAAACCGTAACATATTCATGCAAACAATAGCGAAATGCGCTGCAATAAATTCAATTATAAATTAGAATGTAGTTCTGCATACTTGTATTGAATATAGCCCCTAAGGGAACATACAGTATCTAAATATAAATAAAAGTACGTAAATCGGTCAGTAATTCACAGTAGGACCAGTATAATTAAAAGTGCAATTTGTATCTAGAATGTGTTATAAATGGCGATAATCATGCTGTACGAGAATAACATTAAATTGGCAAATAATCGAACACGATCATATCATTATTAGATGGATGCAATAGACATAGAGATAAAAAAAACGAGTACATCATAACATCACCTTTTGTCGAAGCTGCACTCACTATTCGCAACGTAAAAATTACATCTGTCCGCAACAAAAGCACCACTACCTCTGTCCCCTTTTCAAACAAATTCTAGACGAAAATTCTTAATCTCGACCGTGCCCCGAGACGTCGAGTCGATAGGCATCATTATGTTTTCTCGCATAGCGTTATATTTGACACTTTTATTGTAAATTATGGCCCATTTCAATGTAGAACAGAGAAGAAAAAAAACACGTGTTCCACGGAAACGAAACAAAGCGCAACCTTGACTTATTTTCTTCGCGCCAGGGTCGGGAATATTTAAATCGAATTTTAGCGCGCTAATTCGGTTCCATCACAATACAAAAGTTTAAGCGCTTTTGAACAATATCTATCAAGCAATTCAAATATTACTATTGTCTTTGACATTCCTGCGTTCCTAGGTTTTACTTCAGAAGCAGTGTTGGGTATATCCTTTTTACAGCGTTTCAAAAAAATTGAAGTTCGCTATTTTCAGTCCGTCCGTCTGTCTTCATTGTAGAGTGCGTTGCTCATCTACTACATAGATCATCTAGGTAGATATAAAAACGAAAGCCTAGATATAATATCAGAAGGTGAAATATAAATAAGAAAGTTGGCATTGTGCAGTCTGCGCATGCGCACATCTGATTTTTAAATATGCGATATCGCCGTTGCCTTTACTAGAAGTATCTATTTACGCATCTTTCCGAACATTCCTCGACTCATACGCCGCCCGTGACGACTTTTGGCGTAGCCGTAGCGAACTCATTTCTCACATAGGAAACAGGTCTGAGTTTCCAGACCTCTGTATACCACCACCGTGGTAAACAATGGGAGTGCGAAAAAATTCTGATTTGATATCTGGGGGTTGTTCAACATGAAAATAACGAATCCAAAGTTAGTTTTTGAAAATTCAAAGAAAACAATTTCAACTGTATTTGGTCCTCAAAAATGGGCAGAATTTCGTAAAATTTGGATATCAAATTTCATCGAATAGGGAATTTTTCGCAACCCCAATTAGGGCGCCCAAATGAGAAAGAGGGTATAATTACACAAAAACCTAGTCAAGTCCGTTCATTCCATGTGCTATGCGTTATTGTTGCTGGGGAAAATTTTAAGAAACACATTTTTTTAATTCTTAAAAAATGCGCTAAAAAAACACGGGACCCAATGAACGTTTTCCACCTTGTACCCAAACGCTTTCGTGGTAACAATTTATATTTATACACGTTAATCAGATTATACAATTTTTAGATTGAGCTCAAGCGTTCACTCTCTTTTTTTAGCGCATTTCCACAAAAATAAAAAAAAATGCGCTATTGTGACCACTTTGTCCGTCCGTCCGCTACTTTTGCGACGCTACTAGTTGTTTATCTTAAGAGCTATTGTTCTACTTTTTTCGCTATTTGGTTCGTTATGGTGTCGAGTCTTGTACCAAGGAAGGAATTTTTTCTGCGTTTATTGCTAAAAAAGTTATTGTAAAAAAACCAACAAACCGTTTTTTACATGTTCCATAATTTTACACTTTTGCCGTTTATTAACCATCCTAGAGATCATTTATAATTTTGTATTGTTGTCTGTCGTCGGTCTGTTGGTCTGTCCGTCTGTTCCTGTGCCTGTCTGTCCCTCTATCTGCCCGTGTGAACGATAATTTTGTTTAGAAATGCCCGATCGCTTTTACATCTCCGTTAGTTATGAACTGAATTGCATGAAATTCAATATGGGCATAGCCTTAGCCATATAATACGCAATGCCAAAAGTTGAATCGAATCGATTCAAAATTCACAGTGCCCTTTTCGCATCTCGACCATTTATAAACCGAATTGCAAAATTTTTTACTTATAAAAGTATTTGAATGAAATTTGATACATAGGCACTTGAAATAAAGGAAAATCAAACGCCAATTTCAAAATTTGGTTTTGCGCATGCGCAGTGCCAACTTTTTTATTTATGGAAGAATTTAAACGAAATTTGATACATAGGCACTTGGAATAAAGAAAAATCTAACGCCAGTTTCAAAATTTGGTTTTGCGCAACTTTTTTATTTATGGAAGAATTTAAACGAAATTTAATACATAGGCGCTTGGAATAAAGGAAAATCAAATGCCAGTTTCAAAATTTGTTTTTGCGCATGCACAGTGCCAACTTTTTTATTTATGGAAGAATTTAAATGAAATGTGATACATAGGCACTTGGAATAAAGGAAAATCTAACGCCAGTTTCAAAATTTGGTTTTGCGCATGCGCAGTTCCAACTTTCTTATTTAGAAAAGCATTGAAATTAAATTCTTCTTATAAACTGAAATTGAAATAGCATGTCAAAAATAATAATAATATTGCCTTTATTGTTCCAAAAATAGAAAACAAAGATTTATTGCAGTACATTAAGGGCGAAGTTCAGCACTGCGGCAATGCCACAGTCTGCTCTTCCACTTAACCCCAGCAAATGAATTGCTCATGTGCAACGTTATCTTTCATATTTGTGGCCGAATTTTTACGATTTTAACAGAAGTTGCATCTTACAAATGGGAAATGAATGCAATACTTTTTAACTTGTTTATACATGTGAACGTATAGCAGAAACACCATCTCGCTAACTTCGTCACAACGATTTTTAGAACCGGCAACACTGTAACGATTCGACTATTATCTACTTGAACACCCGTTTCTCATCTTAACATGCTTTATCTTCTCGCATATTAGTACCGTTCTCTTCCTTACGTATAAAATTTCCTGTACCGGCAAATTTGTAAATTTAACAAAAAACCTTCAAAGCCTAAAGTGACCACCTGTTCAAAACAGATGCTGTACGCATGCCCACATTTATTTTACGGTTAAAAAACAATCTCCTTTCCTTCTCTATAGGCTCTTGCTGGGTTTATGTGTGAATCATTTTGCCTACATCTAACCCCTGAGATCAGCTTTAAAAGTATGACGAATTGCTTTTAAGCTCACTGAATCTGTACTAGCAAAATTACTATTTTGATTGTTCTAGATTTTGTTGTTTTTGTTAAATGTTTAAATGTTTGAATCCTTTTATTGTTTTTCTTTTGTTTCAGTATGTGTGATTAACTATGGATTATCTTGACGAAATTGAAGATATCAGCGTGACCATAAATGAGTCATGCAATTCCATGAAGCGCTTAACCGGCACTAAATTAATAACATTCGCAAAAGGAAATTGTGTTGTATTAAAAGGAGCATGTGTTGGTAAGTATATGGGGCTGTGGTACAGAATGTGAAGCATGGTATTATCATTGTATTTATTAAATACAATGGTATTATGAAGTGAGTGAAATGTATTATACATATATATTAATCTTTTTATACTAGTAAAGACAGCTATTGCTGAGCTACTGTCGAATAGATTAAGTCTATAGAGAGAAAAACACTGAACCATTGGGGTAATTAGTTGCTTACTCAAAAGTCATTCGACTTAGTTTATTAATTTATTAAATCTTATATATATGTATAAGTGAGTTGTGGTGGCGTGGTGCATTAAGGCGCGTAACTACTGATTTTCATTTAGGTCCTCTTGTCGGTGTCTTTCTTAGCACTATAACAGTAATAACCGATTCTGCATCCACCCATTTATTTATTATGTATTCATCACTTATCAATAATGATCACAATTTAATTGTGTAGCTGTAATTTTCGTAATTCCTCTCTAGTAATCATTCCTCGACAAATATAAATATATACTCGTTATTTGCATTAATCATATGGCATTCAGAGTGTGCAGCAAGGAGTAGGCATATTTAAAAGTAAATTAATGTGAACAATCACTGGACTATACAAATATTTACTTCTTTTCAATTACGTGCTCATTATTATTTTCAGACATGATTTGTTGTTTTTATTGACATCCTCTACAATTCTAGATATTGGAACGAGCTACAAGTCTTATAACGCAATGGACATACACACAGGAGAACTATATGTCATCCAAGAAGTACTTATTGCCACCAGAGAGAAGGAGAGTTGTGAGCAGTATCTTTTAAAACTGACAGATTTGCAACACGATAATTTGTTTGAATTGAAAAGTTTTCAATTTGAACATATTGACGAAGGCAATTGGTTTTTGTATATTTTACAGAAGTTCGATTTTGGTAGGATATCAAATAATGTACCTATGCATCTTTTTATTGTGCGTTACTACAGGTTTTCTGAGTATGTCTCTAATGTCTCAAAAGAATATTTCCATAACTAATGACATGTTAAAAAATATTACGAAAAACATTTTAAGTGTAATTCGCTACATTACAATAAAAGAAATTGATTGCATCAGTATCCTTGCGTCGTCAGTATTTATAGATAATCAAGGTTGGCAATCTCTTGAGTGTATAATTTGTTTGAAGATCAGATTTTAGGAAACGTAAAGGTGTGCAATTTTGGATTAGATACATTTTTGACTAGTTGCTCTAATGTTGATTTGAGCAATCAAGAGAAACGAAACACACTGAATCTTTTAGCTGATATGTTAGCTGCGTTACATGGTGGAGATATAATACTTACATTTTCCGAACATTTCCAGGAGTTTTTAAATAAGTAAGTACTTTTAACCCCAAAGTAATTGTATTCAGGCATATGGTTATCCCAAAGACATGCAACATTATACAAAATAGCTGTTCCTTGTTTTTAAGGTTTAATGCAATTACCTTACATACATTAATAGCTTTGAATCTCTATCTTGGTAATCCAAAGCTTTTGAATAGCACAGTAGCTGTAATTAATTATCATATTTTCTATATTTTGTAGGTGTCGATCCGCAACAAGCTGTGATCTGTCAGTTGTGGAGGAATTACTGAGTCATTCATTCATTCAAGAACCTTGTGTTGCAAGTAGCTGTACCCAGTTGCAAAATAAATCATTTGATGATGATAACTCAAGATTTGCTTTAGAGAGGAAGTGTTCTAGAATTGAAAGTGACTTTGAAATAGGATGCGAACTGGGGAAGGGATCCTTTGGAAAAATTTATAAGGTACGTAATCAATAGTCGATTGGTCTAGTGGTCTATGTCCCTGTTATACACCAATCCTGTCTCGCTCCAGTCTCGCTCCAGTCCAGGCTGCATACTGCAAATGACTTTCCGGAGAAGCTTAATTTCTGAGAAAAGTGCAAATTTAGAAAAATTATAAAAAGAACAGGTTAACTGTTCAATTTAAAATTTCTGAAAAACTAAGAAATTCACAAAAAAATGTTTATGGATAGAGTTTCTTGTGTCACATTGTGGATAAAACGTCTCCGAAACTTAAGCTGGTCCTTGTAGTTTAATTAAATTGAATTTGTACTGGTCTGTTAAACTGGTAACAATTAAAATAGGAGTTGAACCCTATAATTAAAACCCTAAAAGAAAATCAAAGGTAAACCCTTTTTCTGGATGAACTAAAATGTACATATCTCTTAAATAAGAGGGCTAATTATAGATGAATGCAATAATCGTCGAGGGAAATTGTAATATGACAAATATCATCTGAATCCTATAGAAAAGGTACACTCCAAATACGGAAAATGCAAATGGCGCTGCTTACGATAACAAGATAGATCGCAATGTAAAATCCTCCTACGGAATTAAGGACAAATCCGTTCACAAAATATGGATGATGGCAATTAAAATTCCATGCGTGCTGATCTAACGCTTCAGCTGTTGGTTTTTGATGAAGTGTAACCCAACATGGTTCTCGACGGAAAGGAAGTGTTGTCACAAATGAATGATGGCGTGACAATCGACCGCCGCTAAAATTGCGTGGTTCAAATTCCAACAATAGATGGAGCCATCTATTAAATTACCTCCCAAAAGGTACGGAGGATCGTTCAACAAGTAATATTGGTTGCGTAATGAAGAAAATAAACCATTACACCGATAAATTAGCACGTGTCACAGGACACAGAGTATAATAAAGTTTTAAGGCAAGTAAAGAGAGAATCAACCTGAAGGGGCAAGGCTCCCAAGGCTCTTTCATGAAGGTCATAAAATAGGGTATCGAAAAATTAATGGGAGCTACATGGGAACTGGGAAGAATACATTAGGGGTTTTGCAGGATCTATGCTCTCAGACCATAAGGATGTGATGGTAGTTACAATTGTTAAAAAGAACTGCTGGCCAGATAATTTAACCAATAGATTAATTAATTAATTCCAAGAAAACAAATCTAAAGAATCATATTTAAATTATTTAATAAGTGTTCTTTAAATATGCACGAAATTATACGAGATTCTAGTTTCATTCACCAATAATTGCAATAACTGCTCTTGGTTATTTTACTTTGCTTTAGACGATCTAGAATGACACATAGTGTGGTGGGTGCGGTTATTAGAAGGTGCTACGATGGTCGACATTATTTACCCGGATCGCCATCGTCTTTTTTGGTGAAAGGTCATTTAGTTTGGTTAATTGCCCTTAACGCTTCATAGTGACTATCAGTTTTCATTTGCACCCTTTATTCAAAATAGCTACACGGCCATTCATAAACCCTTACCAGTCCTTACATATTTAGAACTACTTACTTTTTGCAATAAATCTATGCCTACTTGTTTGTTTTAGGTGAAAGATAAAGTTGATGAGAAATATTATGCCTTGAAAGTAATTAATTTGACAACGAATCACAAAGAAAACGAGAAAACGATAAAAGAGGCGAAATTTCTAGCTGATCTGCAACATGAAAACATTGTTCGATATTATAATTCATGGACTGATGATGTACTCGATGACAACATACACGATTACTATCATTCTTCTCCGAGTACGAATGATGACGATTTAGATGATACTTCCCTGTCTGGCTCGGTAAGAATTTCTTTTGTCTAGTTCTGCCCAATTATTTTTTTTTTATTTATGTAGAATTTTCACCAAAGTTCTTTATCATCGACCAGTGCAGGTTTTATTGTAGATACCAGTTTGTACGTTTAATTTGTAAAGCAAAACGATTATAGTGAATTATTTTGTAGTGATGGACTGGAAGATAATGAACTTCCTGTAGATCAAATGGATGGTGGAGAATGCAACGGGTTTAGTGCCTTGCCGTCTCACATTGACCGAAAGGCATTGTATATAAAAATGGAATTTTGTGAAAGCAACACTTTAGAGTCTGCTATAGCTAAAAACCTTTATCTGGATGAGAACAGGATTTGGAGGTTTTTGAAGGAAATTGTTGAAGGTAAATTTTTTAATTTATTTGTCTTACTACATAATTTCAGTTAAATTCATCACAATCTGGATGCACATCTTGCCTATTTTAACAATCACTGTGTTTTGTTACAAATATGCTATTTTAGGTTTACATTACATTCACAATAAGAACATTATCCACCGGGATTTAAAACCGCCAAACATATTTTTAGATTCTAATGATCATGTTAAAATAGGAGATTTTGGATTAGCTACCACAAATCAACTGTACCCATCACAAGGTAAGTTTATGATTTATGGAGATTTACATTTAATGCAATTTTGTATTCGCGTCCAATCACAATGAAAACGCAGCATTGATCGGTTCCTCCACGTCGCGTGGTCGGTGCGAACTCATTCGTTTTCAGAGCATTCTGCCCTGCCCGTCAAATGAAAAGCAAGATTTGGGCGAGAAGGACAAACGTAGCCGCCGGCAACGGTCTAGTTTTCGCGAAAGCCGATCACACACAAATTTGTCAAAGTGATAAATCCGCGAATGTCAAACTTCAGGAATATAAAAATTACTTCAAATGTAAATTCCTTATGAAAAATCGGCCGAATCCTATTTTAGTACAATACAAAAATTCTAAGGAACTTACTTTTATCGCTGCATTGAATCTTCTCCAATTGTCAGATGGGTTTCTCCTTTGAAAGGCAGCAGTCTTGTATTAATTATCATTAACCTTTTTACCGGTAGTCGTTTTGCTCGTAAATTTATTCTAAACAAATTGGATGCACAACCTTGATTGCGCAACGGAATATTTTTGCACCTTGGACCCAAACTCTTTTGTAGTAACAAATAATAAACGCGAACACCTTAATCCAAATATACACCGAAACGAGTAAACGTTCGCTTCGTTATTAATACGGCACGCTTCGCAATATTTACGTTTGAAAATTATGGCAGCCGTCCAATCGTTTCCACGCAATAAATTTCCTCTTCCGCATAAACCAGCCACGTGCATGCGCAGGTGTTGCAAGTGGTATCTGTGCTAGTCACAGCAAATTTTTAGCGCATTTTTTAAGAATTAAAAAAAAATGTGGTATCGTTTGCGTTTTGTCCGTCCGTCCGGACCCACTTGTGCCGTTTCGAACTACTTCTAGGGGAATGGTGCTACAGTCCTGGAATTTTTTATCCTTCATGGTACTCTAATGAAAGGTCTCAACGAAAGGAATTAATTTCTACCAACCATAGCTCTCCTCCTCGACCTCTTATCGTGATCGGGTATATTTCCTTATACCTCAAGAACGGATTGTCGGAAGAGACGTCTGCAAGAAATATATCCATTGGTGATGTCAAAACAAAAGCTATTTCGGGTAAAAACATGCGCTTTATCTGCACAAGAGTTGTGCACAATTTATACTTGTTTTTTAAGTATACAAAACCCATATGCATACATAGAAACATTCTCTGTATATTTAGTAACTCAATGGTGTAGTTTTACATGTGTTATGGCTTAAATGTGAATCATCCTCGCAATCGTCATTCCTCACTATACTTTTTGGTAGATGTTGAAGCAAATTCTTCTCAAAATGGAAGCTATGAAGTTGTATATGGAACTTATTATTATCGTGCACCTGAATTATCTTCATCCCACACTATCATCCGTGATCCCAAATTGGACATGTACAGCTTAGGTAAAAATTTAAAATTGTTTTGCTTTTTTTTAATTATTACTTTAAGGTGTAATTCTATTTGAAATGTGCTATCCACCATTGGTCGGACACGAAAGACATGAAGTTCTAAAAGATTTACGTTCCGCAAATATAAAATTTCCTAGTGATTTTGATTTTAGCTTACGCCATCAACAGGAAATATTAATAAGGTGATATAATGACAAAGAAGAGTTCTATTACATTTAACTTATCATTTTCAGAAAGCTACTTAACCATGACCCTGAAAAACGTCCTAATTGTCACGAGCTTCGAAATTCCAATTGTATCCCTTCGCTCGAAGAAGATGAGAGGAAAATGCTGATGATTCGCACACTTATTGATAATCCCCAGTCAAGAATGAATAAGTATCTTTTGGAATACTTGTTTACCTCTGCATCTAGGAACAGTATAAATAACATACAAAGGCTACCCTATGTCAACATGCATCAAATAGAAAACGTTACCAGGGTTCTTTTTGATGTAAGGAGTTTTTAAACAGCACTAAATGATATTGTTAGCAGCCTCACAACATACATAATCACTAATATTTTCAACAATGTTGTTCCTTAGTTCTCTGAGCTGCCATACAAGCTACAGCTGAACCAAAAAGCACATCCAAAAAGAGTTTCAAAACAGTTGCAGCTTTGTATATATTCAGCGTGCACAATAACTATCTCCTTTGAAAAATGCGCAAATTTTAGCAAACCAACTTCACCCCACTCATTTTGCTCTTTCATGCTTAGTGCAAAGCAATGTATCATTTTTGCGTTTGACATTATTAACTGAGATCGATTTTAGGTTTTTAAACAATATGGAGGGAAGAACATAGATTTGCCTGCATCATCCGTACAAAACATTTGTAGAAGTACATGTACGAACTGCATAAAATTAGTTGATAGTCAAGGATCCCTAATGGTGCTACCTTGTAATAATAGGTAAGTAGTCTTCTGATTTGATTTAACCTACACTATGCACAATAGTCCAGGAAATGATGCAACATTCATGGTAGTTCTGGACATAGGCTTGTTTTATGTTTTCTGTGTCTATGAACCCGAATTTTCAGCTTCCCACCAAAAATTCCCCCCGCAACCCCCCCAAATTTTGAAAAAAAAGAAAAAATATCGTTCTTAAAAAAAATCCATTATTTTGTGTATTTCAGAGAAAAACTATCTGGAAATTTGAAAAGTAGAGAAAATTTGAGACAATAAAATCATATGATATTTTGACGTAGGGAGAATGGGTAAGGCGTTAGCGCGTCTCGGAACATGGGCCTTGGTGCCGTACGCACGCTGGGACATTAGACGATAACTGCTTGGTTTTCGCCACTTTTACGACCTTGCCTATTTATCGCTGACTGTCATTTTCAATTTCTTGGTTCATCCCCTCCCCTGAAGAGCGCAGAAAGATTGCGAAGGGAAAGAAAGCAGTCATCGGTTGACATAATTTTTGATGAATCTATGACTCCGTGTCGGCCAGGCAAATTTTTTATCCAACAGCAGAAATAAACATCGCCTCATTGAAATGATTAAAAGGAAGTAGACAGTGCGACAAACTGACGAAGACGTACAAGCTATCGCAAAAGCTTGGAATTAATTTTTACTTCGTTTGTATGATTGCTAGGATGAGAACATGATTTTAAACGGTTTTAGACATCAGTGTTTCATTAGGACTGTGTACATCAGTAAACACAATATATCCTCTTTGCCTCCAACATGAAGAAACACTCATTCAGGACGTACCACCAAGTCCAACTTTGGCTAGGAAATGTCATGGAACCACAAAAATGGAGCTGGAAAAGTACTACTATCGGAGTAAAATGTAGAGTCCGCTGGCTTTAAACGGTTATAAAAAAAAAACTACCCAACCGATTTTTATCAAATAAAGCGTAATATAATCGTCAACTATTTCTACGTATCCGTACGTAATGTCATATTTCTTGTTAAATTTGGGAAAATGTGATAGTGAAATATGTACGGGAAAGCGCGCTTTTTCAATGAAAGTATACGAACTCAGAACTTTAGGATTTAATTACAAAAAAAGTATTCACTCGAATGGGATAATGTTTACGTATGTGATAGAATACACCTTTAACTATAAGTCGATACATTTTTATGCATTTCTGTATAATTACGCAAACGTTACAGCGATAAAATGACAGACGCGTTTATTCGCTTATTATAAGATACACTTTAAAAACTTTTGTTCATATCGATAAAGGACAATTACAAATGATATGATCACGGAATAGAATCAATGACAAAAAAATGTCAAGGGCTGCAGGAATTAATATATTTTGAGCGAAAAAGATAAACGCAACACCTCGAGCGGAGTTGGGGGGAAGGTCATTTAATCGCAACGTTGTACCTTGCAGCAACGTTTCGTATAAAGCGGCACACACGCTAAGTACACGGTTAAGTAATACATGCATGAAATTGTTATTCTGTATTAATCAGTCAACTCATATACATTCATTATCATCATTATCGCTATGTTCTTCGAGATCATCTTCATCAAAGTCGATAACTTCGTCATCACTATCCTCGTCGTTGAGATTTATTATCAAAGGTTCTATGGCGACATCTATTAAATTCTCTTTTTCTCGGTACATATCTTCTACTTTCTTGGCATGGTCAACACAATTAGCCCAAACGCTTTTTGGCACATCTTCCAATGTTGCTTTGCAGAGGTCTAATACGTCTTTAATTTTGAATGTTGTGTTTAGCTTTGCAACTTTATTTTTGACATACGCCCATATCAATTCAATGGGGTTGAACTCACAATGGGCTACTGGAAGCCATAAAAGCTTCACTTTATCCTGTCGAACATCGTTTACCACTTTCTCCAGAAGATACTGTTTTTTGTACATGTGAGATAATTGCAAAAGTGAAGGCCTTGTCATTTGATCGAATGTATCGAAGTGTTCTGGTACCTGAACTTTTCGCTTATTTAACCATTCAATTATGTCTGCTTTTCTCCATGCAGTTGTTGGGTTTCGAAATTCAGGAGGTGCTTGATCAAGTACAATAACTGACTTATCGGGAATCACCCCCAAGACATATCGTAACCATTCCTCAAAATGCTGTTTATTCATTTCGTCATGATAATCTGCTGACCCTTTCTTCCCAATGAAGCATTTGCTACATCCTGGTAAAAAACCGTTTTCGTTGCCGATGTCAAGTATAATGATCCGTTGCCCAGCTCCAGAAGGTCGTTTAATTCCACCCCTGTACCCATTGATTTCTTGTATGGTTCCTCGATATTGGTCAAAGCTGTCGCGGTTTTCCGGGGTTATATATTCCACCCAACCAAATTTTTTTGAATGGTTTGCGCCACACCATGTTTCGTCTGTAAAAAATAGATTCCAATCCGTTTCTCTATATCTTTTGATGGCGTATAGATATTCGGCTCTTTTAGCAGCTATTGCATTCACTTCCATTAAAATAGGCCTGTTCTCCAATTTGCGATAGATAAAATTCATATCTTTTACCCATTTTTTTACTGTGGTGCTGCACACTTGCGGAAAATCTGGACACTCATCTTTCAGTCGTTGATAGAGTTCGGCTATGGTTGGAAACCGTTTTTCCATATAAAAATGTAATATTTGTCGTCTTATAACGCCCTTCATAAAATCATCGATCTCTATTTTAGGTCTACCACTTTTTGGTTTTGGTCCTGAAACTATACCACTGATACTTGCTTCATTGGACACCCTTTGAACTGTTTTTTCGCTAATTCCCAAGCATTGCGCAGTTCGTTTTGTTACTTGATTGAGCCGAACTCGATCTACACCATTCATTTCTTCTTCTTCGAAGAACCTTTTTACCTTCACAACAATCTCTTTAAACTCCACGGACACATAACGAGGCATTTTATTATTTATTATAGATATAGTGGTACGTCGTGACAACTAAACTGTTAATGTAGTTCTGGATGAGCAATGGGCCTTTATATATTTGAATGTAAGAAAATATTATGAACCACAATCCATTTTTCTGGTTTTGAATAATATATCTGTTTATCAAACATGTGTCCTGTAGGTACCCACGAAAGAATAATAATGACAATTTACATTACATTGGCCATGGCCATCTGTGGTTATTGTATTGTAACGCTCCAGTTAAACAAAACATGTTTGCCGCACATCACACATGAAAACCGCAGGTTATTATTCATCTTGTTTCGTACGTAGAGTATTGGCTAATTTACACAAAAACAAACATCCACACGTTGTTTTCAGACAATATGTACGCATTTATGACGTTTGCTATTTTATTCATCTTATAAAAAAAGAATGAAGTCGTTTCCTTCAATAATAGCTGCGTTGCAATGTTTTTGCTTTTCCGCTAATTACGCAAAAAGGGAACAAGATATTTCCATAATTTTTTCTACAATAGCTACAGCAAGAATTGGGTTATGTAATACCCGAAATGTATGAATTTTCGTGGAAAAATAAACTATTTATGGACCTGTACAGTTGAGCATCGCGACAAATCACGCATTTTAGAGTACTTTTTTGTGAGGAAAATTCGATAACGTAAAAAGTCCTGGCAGCAAAAATTTACAATTTACGTATGTTAACAACAACTTACCAATTGATACGTTCCAAAAATTTCATTAATATCGGCTCCAGCGATTTTGAGATTTGAGCCTTCAAAGTGAGCGGACTCTACATTTTACTCCGATAGTAGCTACGGACGATCTCCTGTCACTACCTTTATACCTTCCGCTCCACCAAACATTCTAAAGCTAATCTCCTGGGTGTAAAAAAAAAAGGATGCCGTGGCGCGTGTATATGAAGGAAAAGTTGGTTGAAATGTTCAATAATGTGCCTCGAGTGCAACAATTCATGCGAAAATAGCCCTAAAGATATCGTCAAAGATTTTGATGAAGAGGATGGACAAGCAGAGGAATTCGAACTGCTATTTGAAAAGGTGGCCCATCAAGCTGATGAAATTATTTTGGGGAAATCACACAAATCTGATGGTCCAGCTTTTCCGAAAACACGGAAGAATTGTCAGATGAGTCGTTTCTAAACTTCCTTTTTTGTCTTCTTCAATTGATCAATCAATCTACTTTAAAAACGGGACTTTGAAACCAATTAAATCTTTTTGGTGCATGAACCTAATTTTCAGCTGTGGGCCCTCCAGTTAAACGGAAAATAGTAGGTAATTTAATTTAGTAATAAAAGTCTATATTTTTTAAATACCTATATAGATGCGTTCTTAATTCTGAACTTATCTGAAAATAGGTGGGGAAAAGTTGGAGGTTGAGGGTTGACTTCCAGATGTTGAAAAATAAGAGAGATTAAAGGAGGGGGGTGGTTAAAACGAAAGATAAAGCGGGTGAAGGGAGAGCTAACACGAAAGTCGTGGGTTGTTAAGCGAAGTGCGCCAGACGCCAGTCGCCAATGAGCATACTTCAACGCACGCCAGCGCCCCCTACGTGCGTAGTGTAGTACGTAAAAGCTATTAGGACGTTTTTGGTTGCATACTGTATATCTACATTTCAAAATTGTAGGTATTTTATTCGTGAAACCACAAAAAACGGTTTCTTAAAAAAACATATTTTTTTCTTATTTTTCGAGATTTGGGGGGGTTGCGGAGGGAATTTTTGGTGGGAAGTTAAAAATTTGGACTCAGCAACCCAAAAAACATAATGTAAGCCTATTTCCAGAACTACCATTAATTTTGCAAGCAAAGGTCATCGTATGTTCTGTATTGCCTGGGCTACAAGTACATAGAATGTTCAAATTGCTATTTCGAATGTGTTTTGATTGAACTCTTAATTCCCAAAATTATACCAATCAATAATATATGAAACTTCAATTTTACAGCATTTGAAACAAGCACAACTTTTACTTTGTTTCTGTAAAGCATTGATAGTGTAGGTAGGTTCTATTATTACTTTTGTTGTAGGAATGTATTGGCCAAATTTGTGTCTTTGGGAAGGAGCACAACATGGTTACGCTGTTACTCTAGCCATAAATCTGTGAATTGTAAATCATACTCTTGTGATTTTGATATTATCACGCCTATAGACTTACGTAAGGACCAAAATTATCTACCGGAGGCAGAAATTTTACTTATTTTGGATGAAATACGCAACTCCTTCGTAAATTTATTACCTTCGAATTTTACATTATATATAAGTCACTCCTCAATACTTGAGGCTATTTTTGAAGAGTGTGACATACTAAGTCACTCCTCATATGTGTCCTTAATTTCAGGCTATTTACCGATGGTAATAAAATGCTTTACATGGCAGAATATTGTTATAGTCGCTTTGAATTTTAGGATGACAGGAAAGCGCTGTTGTCTTTCTATATGAAATCTAAACCTTTCGATAAGTACTTAAAAATCTTAGGAACTAGAGGGAATCTGATGGATGGTTCGTGGAATTCTGCGTTTTCGAATTTTTTCAGAAAACCTGATTTGAATCAGAAGGTGCAAAAAGCCATTGATGAATTAAGAAATATTTGTAGGACTGCTCAAAGACTGGGACTGACGGTAAGTGAATAGGTGTGATATTTAACTAAAAGAAAATAAATTAAAATTTGCTACCTTTTATGTACTATGATTCTTGGGGACATTGAAAATCTATTTGTTATGTGGTTCTCTCTGTACTAGCAAATTTTTTTTAAGATACTTGTAAGATATTTAATTAGCAGTCTCTACCTTGAAGTTAGAGAACTTGTATAAGCGGCTCTCCTGTTTGCCTATTTGACTATGGTGGGCGTATTTTCGATCACGAAAGCAGCCATTGTAATGTTCCTAGGGGTCTCCCAAGCTGACATTGAGAATGTTGACTTACCCTATACTTGCGTGTTGGCAACTCTGGGGAAAACTACCAGCAGAGCGACCTAACAAGCAAGAAAAAAAAACCTAGCGTAAAGGTGGGTTCATAGCTCTCCGTTTATACGTTTCCGTTTGTCCGTTAGCCAATCAGAAAACAGTAAATTTTTAAACCGTACGTCGTCCATTTACAACGGGAAAGTTGGTTGAAGTTGAACATTTACGTTTCCGTTGGTCCGGTTTTTAACAAGAGTAAGGTTATGTTTGTTATATTGTTGACGCTTAAGAGCAAATTTAACAGTGTTCGCCCATTACGTTCTTCGCGGTGATAATCTGATAGTAGTTTCTACGTACTGAAGATCATGGTGGGTACAGTACAAAATAAAATTTAGGTTATGGTTATACGTTGCAAATGTACAATGTGGACGGATTGCTATGAACCTTAACAAATTGCACTATCCGTTTGACGGATAAACGCAACGGATAAACGGAGAGCTATGAACCCACCTTAACACACACAAATACGGGAAATAAATGAACTACAGGAACAAAATGCAAGAGACAATACACAAATAATAGTACATTATACAGGGCGTTTCAAAAAGAATCATCCGATTTTGTAGGTTTATAATTTCAATACTAATAATAATATGGACATGAGGTTAATTTTATATTAAAGGATAACCAATAAAGTTTTTTTATACACCATTTACAGGTGCTCAATATGGCCCTCTTGAGATGCACGGCATATGTCTATGCGATACTCAAATTCGTCCCACACCTTAGCTAGCATTTCTTGAGTGATAGATGCTCTGGGCTGTAGGAGGATCAGCACCATATGTGGTACGAAATTCACGTTGCACGGAAATCACAGACTCACATTTAGCAAACCGTATAACACAAAACGCTTTCTGTTGTTTAGACGCCATTTTGACAATAACTGAGCTGGGCGTTGACAGAAGCGCGCTACTGCTACCTAGCGGAAACCACGCGAAACTCGAGAGCTTCCTCTTACTAACAGTACATTGTTCTATGAAATCGGACTTATAGATGAATAGCAATAAATTTTTAAAATCGGATGATTCTTTTTGAAACGCCCTGTATATCAAGGTAGAGAAGTACAGTATTATTGCCTGAGCACCAATATTACATCTCGAGGCGCTTGCGCCGAGGGGTGTAAGGTGCGAAGGCAATAATAGACTTCTCTACTGTGGTATATTTTTCACTACTAGCACTTGAAGTCCTCTAAATTAACATATTATATTGATAAGAAAGTGAACGGTTGGACAGAATTTTTTGTTTATTAATTTAACATGCCAATCAAGTGCGTAGAAGTACAAGTCAAACAGGCCGTATTTTGTTCTGTCATTGAGATATTTTCAAAGAGTAATTTCGTTCGTTTTTTTTCAAAATGTGAAATTTAGGTATGTAATTTCGCTGGAAATGGCGGATGGTGGCAATTATTCATTTTAGAGAACTTGTCTAAACGTTTATTGAGCGAAATTTCAGGTTGTGTTTTCGAAAAGTGACAGCGTGACAGTTCTCATTATTGACTACTAGTTATAATGTACACATTATTCAAGGTTATTTTATTTCAAAGGTTACCTGGTAACTATGTGGGCGGAAGCGGGAGGGACGGAATGTATACGTCATCGAGAATTCAGACATTGACGTTCAACGTTGTTTGTAGTCGCGCAGGTGCTTATTTTTCTTGAGTTATAGTTTATTTGTTTAAAATTTGTTGAATTTTGAAGTGCATAAGGACATATATTAGCTGTAGATACCTGTTTGATGCAATATAAAGACATTTAGTTTGTGAATTTTGTGGGTTTTCATAGCCGTGATTGAAAGGTTAGTTCATCAATTATATGCACTTTTATATGTTATAATTAAGTATTTTTTTAGATGAGTGGCGGTAACACTAAAATTCCTCATCCTGGTGTAAATAAAATCTCGGTTTTTACGTTTCCCAAATACCCGACCGTTCTTAAAGAATGGGTAAGAAAATGTTTCACATCCGGCAGTAAACTAAAATGTGCTGCGCCCTCATTGGTCAAAACGGCCAACCGATGAAAGCGTAGCGTCCCTGGCCGCAAACGTTTAAAAGCAGAGCCACGAACTCTGCAAAGTGCAACGCAATTTCTGCTTCGACTGCACCTCAAGAAACAAAAAGCTCTCCACCTGCAGAACCAGGTCGCCTTGCCAGCTCGACCTGGCGCCACACTCCATCAGTCAGAAGACCTGCATCTGGGCTCACCCCAACGACAGAGCTCGCCGTGTGCACCTCCGTTACCATTTTGTACATACTATAAATATACATGTTCCATAAAACGCAACAGCATTTTATTTGGCGTCATACGCTAAAGAATGTTTAGAGTTTTAATTCCCAAAGGCTAGGTATTGATACATAGGGGTGGTTCCTATTTTGTAGAACGCGGAATTTTATCCATTTCCACCTCTAAAATTAATTTGATTACATTTTCACAAGTCCTCGTGCAATGTAAAACAGCTTACGCACCACACGCATTTTTGCAATACTTTGATTGCTTTCAAAGGTCGATAAACTTCCAAGATTTCCAATATAAGATCCACCCTTATATACATAATACCCATATAAATCCAAAAATATACTGCAAAAACTAAATTTTTTACCCCTTTTATTAGCATTGTGACCAATGAGCAATTTTAAATGTGAATTCTGGATGACGTTTTCCCACCTTCAAAATGCAAGCATTCTATTGGTTTAGAGTTACCAGACAACCTTTCTAATAAAACAACCTTGCACATTATTAACCACTTTGAACAACTGGCGAGAAAGCCTACTTTACAAGTGGAAAAAAGGTTAATAATCATGTCATCAGACGCTAGTAGTGAAAAAAACATCTTAAATTGTACGATAAAGCTGAGATAATCGAATCAAATGCAGTTAAACAAAAACACGTCATGCATCATAAATGCAGGTGGAAAACATGATAAATAAATTTCAACATTTCTGTTATAGTGTTATTAGTAGCAATTCATAAAACGACAAAGTCATGGCTATTGCTACTAAGAACAGAAATGTTGAAATTTATTTTTAAATTTGCGGGTATACCAAAAGCTTAATGAAACATGTAAAAACAGCTTTGTATGCACCTTTTAATTATGAACAACTTTAAACTACAGTTTTTTCTGTAAAATGTACAGCAGGGCAGGATATTGCATAAAACTAATGTCCCATGTTAAATCCCTATGTTCCTACTTACCGTGCACCACCAGGTATACAACTCCTACAATGATAAATTGCATGTACAGGGTGTAAATCGAAAAGTGGAACATAGGCGTTTAACATGGGAAATTACTTTTTCTTTGCGCAAACGTTTCCTAATTATTTTACGCAAAAATACTTCAATTAAAAGTTATAGAGATATAAATTCTGCATGTAAATCATGTGAAACGATTATTCTACCTCTTCTTGTACGCAAAAAATTAATTATAAAGATTCTGTTTTCACGAGTTTTTAGTCTAAGTAGCCATGGACTATGTTTTTCTTTTATCATAGTCCAGAATCTTTATAATTAATTTTATCGCGTACAAGAAGAGGTAGAATAATCGTTTCACATGATTTACATGCAGAATTTATATCTCTATAACTTTTATTTGAAGTATTTTTGCGTAAAATAATTAAGAAACGTTTGCGCAAAGAAAAAGTAATTTCCCATGTTAAACGCCTGTGTTCCACTTTACACCCTGTACATAAGAACACATCAAAATTTCTAATCCATTATGCATAGATCTTAACTCTTAGGTAATTTCCCAATAGAAGTTTACACCATTCCGTAAGTCTTTGTTTTTAACACCAAATAACTGCCAATCAAATTGAGGGAAGCTGATATTTCGAACAATCGTGCATGCGCCATGTTCAGATTTCTCAATTGTTAATTCCGAGGGTAATTCTTAATGCTTAAAAGTTGAAAGTTAGGAACTTTCAAGGTCGTGTAGTAAGAATTACGATAGGTACGCATTAGGAACTAAGAAATTGGAGAAACGCGATTATTAGACATTCTACATTTATCTTTTTATTTTATAAGAATTAAGATTTAAATATTAAGTATTAAGAAGTTGCATAAACCCGCCCTTAGACTATATGAAAGAAAGGGGACTGATAATAATGCTATGCGTTGAAGCCTGTGGCGCCCATATTTAAGGAGGCAAAATTTGTTTACTTTTTTGCATTTTCGTGTTTATGCGGTTGTTAAGTCTCGAAGTGTGCAATTAAAAACACTCGTTATGAAAAATACCCTAGCATAGAGAATGTCGTATTTTTGTTTCAGATGTAAAGGCGTGTTGCCTAACCATAGGGGTAAATTATCATAATATCTTCCCTTTGTTCTTGTGCGTCTATTTTGGAATTACGATACGCGACATTTGTCTAGTAGGGTTTCATAAAATTCCAAACACCAAATAACCACCTCTTAGGATCCAGACGGAAAATTCGATACCCTGCCTCTGATATGTATCCTCCTATCTTCACATCTCTCCCAAATACTTCTGAGCCCTGAAAATTTTATCCTTTTATAGTATAGCTTTTTAAAAAGTGTTGTTTCAATATCCGCACAATGAGTCCTATTTTAGTTTTATCCTGCTCCCACTTTCATTCCAATATGGAATATGTGCATAATTATATAATGTGTGTTTTAGGCCAATCTCATTTTTGATCCTAAGTGCCTACTATCTAATTGCCAGAAAAAAACAGGCATGCTAGCTGAATTACATTACAAAGTGCCAAGTCAACGTGAGAGCGTTAAAGTAGCACTCGCTGGAAGATATGACGATTATCTAAACAGGGTCTACTCGAAAGTGCCAATGATTAGAGCTAAAAGATTTGGAGTGGGGATCACTGCATTACTTGATAACTTCAAGAGAGTTTTAGATATGTCAAAACCGGATGCAGCTGAACATGTTACCGTATGCTATTTTTCCAAAACTATGCCTGTGCAAGCGGTTGAAGTAATGTCGTGCTGTACCATATATAACTCTGTGTACGCAATAAATTTTAGGTATTCAAGAGGTTGCATTCCGCAAAAATCCCGTGTAGCTTTATAAAGATGCAGAGTGAGAAGCACCAGATTGAATTTTGTGGGAAGAATGATATAGCTTGCTGTATCTTATTGAAAAGCAATATGATCAAAAACAAAATCTTAATACGTTATAGAAATTCGTAAGCATATTTAATAATAACCAGTTAATTACAAATCTTATGTGCCTACTAAAATCCAGTGTTCTCATGAAACACTTGTTGTCACTTGTCGATTGCAATGTGAGAATAGTCGGTCTTTTATATGTATATATGTATACCGGGTGGTGCCTAGCGCGACGCAGCATAGGGATTTCAATGGTAATTTCTTTATAGTAAATTACTAGCTCCCCTAATTATTTTAGAGCAAAAGTCTAATTGCTGCATCTGTTCATACTATTACTTATAATTTTTCGTTTTTCAAAACCGAATCACGTTTCATTATTTGCCTTTGACGTATATTAAATTTATACTTGTTTATAAATTAGTTAAAGAACTGCAAGTGCAATAACGTTCAAAATGCCCGTCAAAACCATCAGGAAAACGACAATACATTCAACGTTTTGGCTGCAGTAGCGGAAAATCCGAATATGAGTTTTGGAACAAATCTTCTTCAAATCAGTTTTTTTTCTTCGATTATGGAGGTACTATGATTCCGGAAAATGATAAACAAATAGTATCTGATGCAGATGCAGCATACATTCTCTAAAAAAACATTACCCTAAGATGCCTTTTATTGCGTCGGTTAGTTGAAACAGAATTAAATATGAAGATCGTTCGACGTCAAACAACCATAACTTAGATGCGATGCGCTTGTAGTTTGTTAAAAGATTCCAAAGCATCACTGATTTATAAAAATGTAATTTTTTATTTTGTCGATTTCTACGGTTTTGAAAAATGGAAAATTATAACTAAAAGTATGAACAAATGCAGTATTTTTTTTTCTAAAAAAACGTATTTAGACTTTTGCTCTAAAATAATTAGAGGAGCTAGTAATTGACCATAAAGAAATTACCATTGAAATCCCTATGCTGCGATGCGCTAGGCACCACCCTGTATAGGTACTACACATTCCCGTTTCTCTGGTATTTAGGATATTTTTCAATAATTGTGGTAAAAATTTGGTTCAGCGCTTCTGGTAGCTTTTTGTTAAAATATGAAAGTATTGTGGAGGCGGAGTTAATAGGATTTGTAACTAACAATATCTTAATTATGCATATATCGCTGTTAAAATTGTTTAATTTCAGAAACCGCGTAATTGACATTAACGATGTAGTTCCTGCTGTAGAAATTGTCTTATACTGTAAACGGAACTGGAGATTAGTCGTGACGAAGCCAATTCATTTTGAAGCACCAATCTTCTTTCTAACTGTTCCTGGATTAACCGAAGATGAGCAATTTAAGTGCACGATTAAAGTTGACGCTGGCATATCTTGGATACAGTAATTTAATTTTATCATTACAGATACTACACAAAAAGGACAAAATGCAAGATTCCATTATCTTTGTGGTTAACTCAACAAAAGATTTGATTAAGTCTTTTATCGATCATTGTAAAATGGATGAAGTTATATACAACTGGTGAGATCTATGGTTCTTTTGTACATATTTTGTGTAATTTTCAATTTTAAGGTTTATCACACTAGAGTACCCTTTTAAAACAGTATGTGAATTGTTATCCGAGCATAATAAGGAACAAGTAATATTTTTTAACATATCTGACACAGATGCTATTCATATTAAGGATATGTTTGTCTTTAAAACGAATAGAACGTTAAAGAAGCAATCATTTATTTCAGAAACCTTGGCTGTTTCCCCAGTAGCAGCCTATAGGCGCCTATAAAGCATAAGCTCAGTCTTCATATGCATTACTGTAGTTTTGGGCAATATGGTGCTTGATATGGTTCCTTTTTTATAGGAAGGATTGATTTTTAATGAAAAGCGAGAGATTGTGTACACTATACAACAAAGGTTCCAATCATCTTACATTGCCTTTTACAAAATCTATTTCTGTTTATTATTTGTCCGCGTTCTATCAGAATGGTTTTATTGTATACCTACCTACTAAAAGTGTGTGTGAAATAAATGCAAGGTGATCTCGGTCTATCGCAATTATCTGTTACACGTCTGCGGTAGCTTTAAGCAAGATCATTGTATTAAAAGAGTAGGTAGGTATTATGTATGAAAAATAGGATAATTTACATTTCCAATGTAAAACATTATAGGTATTGTGTCAAATCTAATTTTCAAAGATGCCACATTTTTTTTGAATTGTAACAAAGTAGGTTTATGGTCCAATTGAACTTTCATCAATATCTCGTTAATGAAAGAGGGCATCAATGGCAAAAATTTAAAAAAATGTGTTTTGTATCTGTAGGCATCTTAGAATCATGTGTTACACAATTTAAAGGAAAAAAAATATCCTTCTTACTGTAGAGCATCAGAATGTAAAGATAAGATACCAATGTGAAAGGATAAATTTAAGTCATGTTCTAATGTGCCAATAGACCGTTTGGTTTACTATATGAAACATAAAATTTTGAATAATAATTGTCAGGTTAATGTCATTAATCATATCGATTTTTTATCTATTTTTATATGCATTTTTATATTTTATTGTGATAAAGCATATAAGTATTTGTGAGAGTTTTTATTAAAAATCGGCGAACGAACAAAACCACATACTAAACGGAAGCATCGTTAATTATAGGACCCCCTCTTCTCCTATTGCTAAGAAACGAGAGCTGCAGCCAGTACAAGATGAATAATCATATACAGCAAAGAATTGTACGGTATGACTTCTGAGGTACTTGTTTCACGGTATAAATGGTAAATAGAATTGTGCAGGCGGGCAACATCATACTGACAATCTTCTCTCTCTGGAATACATTAAATACATTCTCAATAAACAATTATATAAAGGCATATCCACCTGTACATAACAAACAAGGCAATGACTAGGACAAAAAACAAACAATAGCGTGGAGCACGCCATGCTTTCAATAGAGTAGACATATCATTAATATCAAGTAATTACAAATTGTGACATGGAAAATAGAAAAAATGTTAAGAAACACGATACGCGTGAATAATTGGGGAAATCATCCAAAACCTCCAGTTACCTACGCCGACGTTAATTCAGCCCTCTGTTCCACATAGTTTGCGGCTACAAATAAATGGACAGTGAAATAGAATCCAACTTTCCCGATATAGTTGCGTTACGGTGCAGATGCGTTAGATATTTTGTATACGATTACAGACCACCAACAACAAGGACGTGACGCAAAAATCGGGCCAGAAATTACCCCGAGAGTACAGCGACTGCTAATCATCAGGACAACGAGAAGGGGCCGATAAGACCCAGGTACCTAATTGTTTTGCCCCGGCGACTGCCATTCAAGTCGTGATACTTAATCATAGCGATAAACTGGAAAATAGAAGAAAAGAGAGGGTCAACCTTGGGAATAGGTACCTCGATCAGTCCAGTTTTAAAGGCATAAGTATTGGGCCCAGTGGGACTGATATTACCGCCGCCCGGAAAACTGAAAATTTGGAAACTTAGTCAAAGTGTTGCCAAAGTAAATTACAATTCATGCACTAAATAAAAATAGGCTGGGAAAAAAGAACTTACCAAGCAAAAACCCAACCGACAAATTATTATTAAATTGTGTAGAAAAATTAATTGTTTGTAATGAAGTGAATGAGTAACAAAATTATATCAACAATATTAACAAAGTATGTATGTATAGCATGGAGGTTAAAAATAAGTTTTGGGAGTCAGGTAAGCAGGTACAAAGATTCTGAGAAAGGGTGAAATACATAAGATGTGACTCATCTTTGGTGCAATAAAATCCTGTTAAGAGCAAGATGGAAACTCACATGGCCTTTGTAGGGCTAATTCAATATTACATCAAAATATGTGAAAATCGATGAATCGCAACTCATATAACACACATATAGATTCTAAATCGAAGAGTTTTTATTAGCAGAATCTCGCCCCCGAGATAGATAACTCGTCCTTCGTTCGGCGAGTTTCGAGCAGTTGACCGTCGAGATCAGTCCCGGTTTGAGTATCGTAACTCATTTGGGTAAAGTTTTTGTGGCCTCCTTGAAAGTCTCTTCAAGGCGAAAATGTTGGGTTACAAACAAGTCAGTATACACATACATACATCAAACCATTCGATAATTTCTATCTGTATAAAAGAATGATCAAAAATATAAATCCAATGAGGCCAAGACCATGTAATCGAAACTTAAACAAAGCAAACATTATACCAAGAATGAACGCGATTTCAAACAAAAGGTTAACTGTGAATGTAATGAATCTGCATTAAAATCCAGAAAATCAAAGATTTAAACTCGCACAAAAAATATAAAATGCTACATACAAAACACAAATACATTATAAAGAAATGCAAAGATCACTAGCTGCATTAAATAACACAAAATAACAATTGCGTGGTTTCCAGCCCTCACAGAATACGGCCTTCTCAGAATAGAAACAGCAATGTTACAAATTTGTATCATAGATATATAAATACATAGATACAGCCATACCCCAACATAGTTCAAAAGGACGTACCATCTATTACCATCACTTTCGGCACATTAATTACGTATAGCGCTATCCTTTATAGAGGTACCCTGAGCATGGAAGACAAGATTCGCATTATTTATTATAACTGTCAATCAAATTGTTAGCACAAATCACACAGAACATGATCAGATTTGAGACTTTACAACATAAATAAACCGCCTTTTTATTTATTTAAATCGCATAGCAGCAAGAAATGTTACATTTAAAATGGAAGATGTTACTTAGAAAGCTGGCAAATGAAGAATTTGAAAAAATTACAGCTGACAACTGGAAGAAAGTGTGTGAACATGTGGAAAGTGATTAATTTAAAAGAGAAGTTATATTGGTTGATGTTTCTGAACTTTATGATGTGTTAATAATGACAGTGATGATTCGGATTTGTCAATTTCATCTGACGATGATTCGGATTGTGAACTTTTACAAACGTAGTGAATGTTCACTAAATGAGTATTATCACCAATTGGATATCATTGTTAAGATGTTGTATTTATTTTAAATAAATGTACACGTGTAGCTTACTTACTACAAATAGCACTATAATTTCAAAAAGAAACCCCACCGATTGGACATATGCCGAAAGGTAGGCAAGACGCGTAGCGACCAAAATTTGATATTGCACGCACACACAGTCCATAAATCTCGTTTTCCTAAGAAGATTGCACGGATGCTTCTTTGTGATCATGATACAAACGCACTGCATCAACATCATATAGGCCAAAATGATAATTGGAAACGAATTCACTTCCTGTCGCAACTTAATCTCCGTTACCATTACGCCTAAAACCATGCAATTCAAATGAAAATGTTGAACATAAACTTTACTTACTTACAGTTTTTTTGATATTCTGCAAGCCAGCAATGAATTCACTGCAGCACATCATGCCAAACAAGGTAACCATAGTCCCAAATTTGAATGGCGTAGCTCTATGTAATAAAACTATTTCAGGAATAACAATTATGGACGCGTCTATCATTATGGCAAGCCCTAATGTTATTCGTATTCAATTGATAACGCAATAATTACATAATATTTAGTGAAAAAACCATTAGTTAGATTTGATTTCGCGCGATCGTGAAATGTGTCAACTGTCAAATGATTTATCGGACGCGCTAAGTTTGTTTTAAGCGTCCGATTCGCGTACGACATAGTGGTTAATGCAATAAAAAGAGATAGAACATGTTTCTTCTTGGTTAGAAAGTAATGGAGAGATGTACAAATTTCTTTGATATGTTTTTTAAAAACCGAGGTACGTTTGTTAAGGATGGCTGTATCTAGGTATTTATATATCTATGTTTGTATTAAAGTCACTAAATATAATAAATATCTAGTGACTTTAGTTTGTATGGTATTTTGGCGGACCCTGGTGGGTGTACTGTGAACTAAAGCATCAAAATCAGAGTAGCGCCATCTGGTGACCAGCTTCTAAATCCATGAAGTAATTTCCCCAATTCGATCTAAATCACAAATATAGATAAAGAATACACAGTTGTTAAATTGCAAGTATATTTAGATACAATCACATTACATTATTTAACACAAACATCTTAAATTACATGTTTACAAATTACATATAAAACTCAGAAGCGAGTGGAACTTACGTTTTGTAGATGTTAACACTTTGAAGAAAGATCCTTACATAACGATTTGTCGTACGAAATATTTGGTTTTAAAAGCTGTTTGGACTACATATTTTTGTTAAAAAATATCTTTAGAACTAAATTTTTTTTTCCAAGAGGTAATAAAACCGTTTCAGCAAATTGTCACACAAGTTTTTGACAACAAATGTTAACTTGATTCTGGTGCTTACTTGTTACTTGAGAAGCGAGGGTGGAAGTTGTTGAATTATCTAAAACGTATTTTGTATTCATTGTCTAAAAGGAATTACAATATAAGTATCTACGTCTATATAAATATAAAACTCAAGTCTACACCCTTTAGCGTCTCTACCGTTGGTAATTTATAAATTCCATACCTTGCATAAATAGGAGAGAAATAACAGCACATTTCAATCCTCTTCGCGTTTCAAGCACAAAACAATCTGTTTCAAAATATGGGAAACGATGCCTTTTTGATATTTTATCGTTACAATCCGCCACACAACACTTTTTACGGTCACATAACTTGTTCATATTTTAAATCTTTCAAAAGTCAAAATTGACATGTGTAAAACCATGTGTACGTATAAAATCGACGGTAAAAATATTTCCTGTAACGAGCAAAATTACAGGTTTTGCAAAAAAATATTTGAGTCTGCGATAAATAGTTCTCCGTACAACCACGGGAAACGCTGTAATCAGTGACAATTTAGCGCCATTTATGTTTCTGTTCTGTGAAGGTCTTATTCTGTGTGCC